GTAGCTACTACTTGGAGCCGCTGCCCCTGCCTCCCGAGGAGGAGGAGCCCCCCACCCCAGTGGCTTTGGAGCCAGAGAAGAAGGCCGTCGAGCCGGCCAAGGTGGAAAAGGCCAGCGCGAACGCCGCCAGCTCTGCTGCGGAGCCCAAGAATAAGAACAAGAGCAAGAGCAAGAAGCGCGCCCAGTCTGCCAGCAAGAGCGAGGTGAGGCCCCCCGCAGCTGGGCTGTCCGTCCCAGCCTCTTCCCCTGCCCGGCTGGATGGCCTGCCTTCTCACGGCCTTTCACCCCACAGGAATACATGAACACGGGCCGGGGGGTTTCCTACGGTGGAGCCATTCCCACTGACCTCCTGCATCATCAGCCGGGGAACTCCATGTCTCGCTTGGCCTATGGGCAGCCTCCGGTGGGCCTCTATGCTCAGAACCAGCCCCTCCCAGCAGGTCAGTCGAATCCCGGCCTCCCTTCAGGGAGCCAAGCGGGGAAGGGGCACTTCCTCCTCCCAGGCTCCCCCCACCCTCCCTCGGTCTTCAGTCCTCCTTGGCTGCTGGCTGGGGCTGAGCTGCGAGCGCCTGGTCTCTTCTCGCTGGAGGCACCCGAGAGAAAGATGTGCTTGTTCTTCCTTGCAGGCGGCCCTCGGCTGGACACCTCGTACCGGCCAGTGCGCGTGCCAATAGGCAAGCTGGTTCCCAGCCGGCTCCCCTATGCAGGGGTTTTGCCGACAGGCATGGGCATGATGGGGATAGACCCTTCCTATAAGTCAGCTGTCTACAGGCAGCAGCAGCCGCCGCCCCCTGTCCCCGGCGGACAGCTCCTCCGCCAGCAACTGCAGGCCAAGCTGGTAAGACCCCACCAGGGGATTGCAGAGCGCAGACCCCCCAGGAACCAGTCCTCTTCCCATCGCCCTTCAGCCGGCAGGCAGCTGCTGGAGTTGGGGGGAGCTGTTTGGGGTAATGTCCAGCTCCCTCCAGAAAGAGGACGAAAAATGTCCCGTCCCCCGTCGTTCTGTTTCTCAGTCAGCGAGGCTGGGGTCTTAACCCAAAGTAATCTCGGGAGAGCATTTGCACCCAGAAGGGAGTGAAGAAAAATCTCAGGGGTGGCAAGGGCCCTGGCCTGGCCTGGCCTCCAGGGCGCCCGCTGTTCCCCAGCTGCCTGCGCCACGCCTCTCTCTTGCCTTTCCAGCAAGGCCAGGGGATGTTGGGGCAGCCACCTGTGCGCCAGATGCCTCCTACTCCAGCCTACGGATCCGTGCAGCCCTCGCAGGTGAGCCTCGGCTGCCAGGGTGGCGTCTTCCTGGCCCTGCATTTCCTCCCCAGTGGAAACTCTCTTGGCCAGATGTTTTGGGGCTGGGGGGCTGGGAAAGGAAGCTCTAGCCCTCAGCTGGTGGGGCTGAGCACGGCTTCTGTTGTCGTGGTGCCCCAGAGACCTGCCGCCTTTTTCCTCCTAACTCGGCGGCCTGTTCCTCCTCCTCCTCCCTTGCCCCCTGCAGGGCTACACCCCCTACGTGTCCCACATTGGCCTCCAGCAGCACCCCTCCCAGGCCAGCACCATGGTCCCCCCGACGTACTCCACCCAGACCTATCAGAACACGCACCCCAGCACCAACCCTGCCTTCGTTGACGCCGTCCGATCGATGCAGCGACCCAGCGGTTACGTGCACCAGCAGGCCCCCGCTTACGGGCATGCTCTGAATCCTGCACAGAGGTAGCTGGGGGTGCAGGGATCCAGCCGGGGCGTGGCCAGGGAGGGCTGCAGTGGGTGCTGGGCTGAGAGCGGCGGCAGAGGCCTGCTCTTAGCCGCTCTTCCGGCCTCCGGTTCAGGTTTCCCCCCCAGCCAATGCAGCAGGCGCCCATGATGAGCGGCATCAACCACATGGGCACGCAAGGCGTCCCGGCGGGGATTCGGCCCAGCCAGCTTCTGCCAGACCAGCAGCAGCAGCAGCAACAGCAGCAGCAGCAGTATCTGAGGCAGCAGCAGCAGCAGCAGCAGCAGCAACAGTTGCTGCGGGTGAGCCACAGTAGGGCCCGGCAGGCTTGCCCAGTCTGGTCTCCTTCTGTGGCCTGCCTGGGGCTTCGCTTCTGGCCCATCCTGGGAGCAGAGTCTGATAATGTTACTGAAAGTCCATGGCAAAAGGGGAGGGGGGCCATTTTTAGGCTATAAAAGAGGCAAGGTCACTGTCCCGGGGCATTGCGATGGCTGCCGCGGCCCATGGACACTGCGCAGCCCCGGTTGGCAGAAAGTCTCCCAGCGGCTC